GGAAGGGTTGCTCTGCTCGTAAAAAACCAATGGAAATTCGAGAAAATAGGAGGCATAGACGAGACAGGAGAAAGGGACTACATAGTAGGTACACTTCAGTCTGGGGAGCACAAGGTGGTCATTGTAGCGATGTATAATCCATCACAGAACTGCAGGAGGCCAAGAGAGGAATATGAAGAGAGCAACAGAGCAATGGTGGACACACTTGCTGAGGTGGCAAGAAGAGCTCACTCCAGCAGAGCAAAGTTGCTGGTTATGGGTGATTTCAACCACAGGGAGATTGACTGGGAAAACCTGGAGCCACATGGGGGTCCCAAAACATGGAGAGCCAAGATGTTGGATGTGGTACTGGAAAACCTCATGCACCAACATGTTAAGGACACTACCAGAGTGAGAGGGGAGGATGAACCAGCAAGATTGGACCTTGTGTTCACCTTGGGCAGTTCAGACATCGAGGACATCACATATGAGAGTCCCCTAGGAGCTAGTGACCACGTGGTTCTGTGCTTTGAATACATAGCAGAGTTGCAAGTGGAGAGAGTAACAGGAGTTGAATGTGAAAAGCCAGACTATAAAAGAGGGGACTACATAGGTTTGAGGAACTTCCTTCAGAAGGTTCCATGGGACAGAGAACTGGCAGGAAAGCCAGTAAATGAAATGATGGAATATGTAACAACAAAATGCAAGGAGGCAGTGGAAAGGTTTATTCCCAAGGGCAACAGAAACAATGGAAGACCAGAACGAGCCCCTGGTTTACCCGACGGTGTAAGGAGGCAAAAACAAAGTGCAATAGAGAATGGAAAAAGTACAGAAGGCAGAGAACACATGAAAACAGGGAGATTAGTCACAGAGCCAGGAACGAGTATGCACAGGTAAGGAGGGAGGCCCATCGACAGTATGAAAATAACATAGCATCGAAAGTCAAGACTGACCCAAAACTGTTGTATAGCCACATCAGGAGGAAGACAACAGTCAAAGACCAGGTGAACAGACTGAGGACAGAAGGTGGAGAACTCGCAAGAAATGATCAGGAGGTATGTGAGGAGCTAAACAGGAGATTTAAGGAAGTTTTTATAGTAGAGACAGGAAGTGCTCTGGGAAGACAGCACAGAAGGGAACATCAAGAGGGAATATACCAACAAGTGTTGGATGACATACGAACAACTGAGGAGGAGGTGCAGAAGCTGCTAAGTGACCTTGATACCTCAAAGGCGATGGGACCGGACATCTCCCGGTGGGTCCTTAGAGAAGGAGAAGAGATGCTGTGCGTTCCCCTAACCACAATCGTCAACACATCCCTTGAAACTGGGCAACTACCTGAGAAATGGAAGACAGCAAATGTAGTCCCCATATTTAAGAAAGGAAACAGAAACGAGGCACTAAACTACAGACCTGTGTCTCTGACATGTATAATATGCAAAGTCATGGAGAAGATTATCAAGAGGAGAGTGGTGGAACACCTGGAACAGAACAAGATTATAAATGAAAACCAGCATGGGTTCATGGAAAGCAAATCCTGTGTCACAAACCTTCTGGAGTTTTATGACAAGGTAACAGAAGTAAGACACGAGAGAGAGGGGTGGGTTGATTGCATTTTCCTGGACTGCAGGAAGGCCTTTGACACAGTTCCTCACAAGAGATTAGTGCAGAAGCTGGAGGATCAGGCGCATATAACGGAGGGCACTGCAATGGATCAGGGAATACCTGACGAGCGCCTGTGACGAGCGGGGTCCCACAGGGGTCAGTTCTAGGACAAGTGCTATTTTTGATATATGCGAACGACATGATGGAAGGAATAGATTCTGAAGTGTCCCTATTCGCAGATGATGTGAAGCTGATGAGAAGAATTAAATTGGATGAGGATGAGGCAGGACTGCAAAGAGACCTGGACAGGCTGGACACGTGGTCCAGAAACTGGCTTCTCGAATTCAACCCTGCCAAATGCAAAGTCATGAAGATTGGGGAGGGGCAAAGAAGACCACAGGCAGACTATAGGCTAGGTGGACAAACACTACAGACCTCACTCAGGGAGAAAGATCTTGGGGTGACCATAACACGGAGCACTTCACCGGAGGCACACATCAACCAAATAACTGCTGCAGCATACGGGCGCCTGGCAAACCTGAGAATAGCGTTCCGATACCTTAATAAGGAATCGTTCAAGACACTGTACACTGTGTCTGTTAGGCCCATACTGGAGTATGCAGCACCAGTCTGGAACCCACACCTGGTCAAGCACGTCAAGAAGTTAGAGAAAGTACAAAGGTTTGCAACAAGGCTAGTTCCAGAGCTCAGGGGAATGTCATACGAGGAAAGGTTGAGGGAAATCGGACTGACGACACTGGAGGACAAAAGGGTCAGGGGAGACATGATAACGACATACAAGATACTGTGGGGAATAGACAACGTGGACAGAAACAGGATGTTCCAGAGAGGGGACACAGAAACAAGGGGTCACAATTGGAAGCTGAAGACTCAGACGGGTCACAGGGACGTTAGGAAGTATTTCTTCAGTCATAGAGTCGTCAGGAAGTGAAATAGCCTAGCAAGTGAAGTAGTGGAGGCAGGAACCATACATACTTTTAAGAAGAGGTATGACAAAGCTCAGGAAGCAGAGAGGGTGAGGACCTAGTAGTGATCAGTGAAGAGGCAGAGCCAGGAGCTGAGTCTCGACCCCTGCAACCACAATTAGATGAGTACAATTAGGTGAGTACACACACACACACACACACACACACACGACGTTCAGTGGGAGAAAGAATTGGCAGGAAAATCAGTAAAAGAAATGACGGACTATGTGGCAACAAAATGCAAGGGGGCAGAGGAGAGGTTTGTTTCCGAGGGAAACAGAAATAATGGGAAGACCAGAATGAGTCCTTGGTTCACCCAGAGGTGTAGGGAGTCAAAAACTAGGTGTACTAAAGAATAGAAAAGGTACAAAAGACAAAGGGCCCAGAAAAAAAAGAGATTAGCCAAAGAGCCAGAAATGAATATGCTCAGATAAAATGGGAGGTTCAGCAACAATACGAAAATGACATAGCATCGAAAGTCAAGTCTGACCCGAAGCTGTTGTATAGCCACATCAGAAAGAAAACAACAGTCAAGAACGAGGTAATCAGGCTGAGGAAGGATGGTGGGGAGTTCACAAGAAACGACCAAGAGATATGTGAGGAACTCAACTTGAGATTTAAAGAATTATTTACAGTAGAAAAAGGTAGGACTCCAGGAATTCGGAACAGGGAGGTACACCAACAAGTGCTGGATGAAGTACACATAACCAAGGAGGAGGTGAAGAAGCTGCTATGTGAACTTGATACCTCAAAGGCGGTGGGACCAGACAACATCTCTCCATGGGACCTTAGAGAAGGAGCAGAGATGCTGTGTGTGCCACTAAGAAAGATCTTCAACACATCCATCGAAAATGGGCAACTACCTGAGGTATGGAAGATGGCAAATGTAGTCCCAATTTTTAAAAAAGGAGACAGGCATGAGGTATTAAACTACAGGCCTGTTTCACTAACGTGTATAGTATGCAAAGTCATGGAGAAGATCATCAGGAGGAGAGTGGTGGAACACCTGGAAAGAAACAAGCGTATAATTGACAATCAGCACGGTTTCAGGGAAGGAAAATCCTGTGTCACAAACCTACTGGAGTTTCATGACACTGTGACAGAAGTAAGACAAGAGAGAAAGGGGTAGATAGACTGCATTTTCTTGGACTGCGAGAAGGCCTTCGACACAGTTCCTCGTAAGAGGTTAATACAAAAGCTAGAGGATCAGGCACACTTAACAGGAAAGGCACTGCAATGGATCAGAGAATACCTGACAGGGAGGCAACAACGAGTCATGGTACGTGACGACGTGTCAGAGTGGGCGCTTGTGACAAGCGGGGTTCCACAGGGGTCAGTTCTAGAACCTGTGCTGTTTTTGGTATATGTGAATGACATAACGGAAGGGATAGACTCAGAAGTGTCCTTGTTTGCAAATGATGTAAAGTTAATGAGGAGAATCAAATCGGTCGAGGATCAGGCTGGAATACAATGAGACCTGGACAGGCTTCAAGCCTGGTCCAGCAACTGGCTCCTGGAATTTATCACTGCCAAATGCAAAATCATGAATATCGGGGAAGGGCAAAGAAGACCACAGACAGAGAATAGTCTAGGTTGCCAAAGACTGCAAATCTCACTTAAGGAAAAATATCTTGGGATGAGTATAATACCGAGCACATCTTCTGAGGCACACATCAATCAGATAACTGCTGCAGCGTTCGGGCGTCTGGCAAACCTAAGGATAGCGTTCCGATACCTCAGTAAGAAATCGTTCAAGACTCTGTACACCATATACGTCAGGCCCATAATGGAGTAGCAGCACCAGTTTGGAATCCACACCTGGTCAAACACGTCAAGAAATTAGAGAAAGTGCGAAGGTTTGCAACAAGACTAGTCCCAGAGCTAAAGGGATTGTCCTACGAAGAAAGGTTGAGGGAAATCGGACTGACGACACTGGAGGACAGAAGGGTCAGGGGAGACATGATAACGGCGTATAAAATACCGTGCAGAATAGACAAGGTGGACTAAAACAGGATGTTCCAGAGATGGGACACAGAAACCAGAGGTTACAATTGGAAGCTGAAGACTCAGATGAGCCAAAGGTAAGTTACGAAGTATTTCTTCAGTCATAGAGTTGTTTGGAAGTGAAGCAGCCTAGAAAGTGAGGTAGTGGAGGCGGGAACCATACATAGTTTTAAGATGAGGTTTGATAAAGCTCATGGAGCAGGGAGAGAGAGGACCTAGTAGCAATCAGTGTAGAGGCGGGGCCAGGAACTATAAATCAACCCCTGCAACCACAAATAGGTGAGTACACACACACTCTCTCTCTCTCCCTAACCTGTGGTTTATATCTAACATTTAACACAAGCAGATATGTCAGTTTGCAAATATTTGTACGTGAATCTCATGTTACACTAAGGTCCTAATACATAAAATTGTCGGCATTTCCAGGTGTACGGATGGCGAGGGTTGCTGGTGGAGGCCAACCCAAGTGCTTACCAGCAACTTGTGAAGAAAAACCGTAAAGCTTGGTCGTCCAACACTTGCCTTGCAGTAACTCCCTACCCAAAGGTAATACTCAAGTAGGGGCCATACCCTTGTCCAGGATCATTCCCGGGTTATAGTATCCCCAGTTCTACTGGACGGACACCTATCAAGCTGAAGTAGTTAGTGACATGTAGTGGAATGCCTAACGATATCCTCTTAATCCTTCTAAGACCTCATGGCTCACGCTGACATTTTTCATTAACTCATGTATAAAATTCATTTTCTTCGATTGAATATCACAAGGAAACATTGTTAGCCGTAACAGCCTGGTTGATCAGACCCTGATCCACCATGTGACCTGGTCTCAGACCGGGCCGCGGAGGTGTTGAACCCCAAAACCCTCTCAAGGTAAACTTCAGGTAATATATACACATATGTATTATTGTGACCACGAACGAGTGGTATTGATCAGCAACAACACTGCGACTAGCCAAGGACTCGAACCCATGCTGCTTTGGCCTGTCTCATGGTGGGCCAAAACACATGATGCCCTAATTCACTGGACCATACGATCCTAAGAGTAGCGCATCCAGCAGACCTGGAAGTTGTACTCGCCACCCAAGGACACACGATGGTCCAGTGAATTAGGGCGTCATGTGTTTTCGCCCACCGTTAGGCAGGAGAAAGCAGCTTGGGTTCGAGTCCTTGGCTAGTGCAGTGTTGTTATCAATCCAAACCGTGCCTTGCCATCGTGTTTTTTCACGGTCTCTTTTGGGTACTAGAACTTTAAACTGCGCCAGTGAACTTATAAGACATATCCCTCCAGCGCTTGGAAGTAATCTTGCAGAAAATAATATCTACTGAGTCAAAAAAGGAGAATCAGTGTACAATAACAGAGCATAACCATACTCTCAGAAGGGAACGTTAGGCCTAGCGTGCCAGTGAACATAAAATTTTGTCAGAGGAAAGACAGTCTCCGTGATAATAGTGTGTTATACATAGTGTTGTAGTGTGTACCACAGTGGTACCCTAGTATATGGATAATAAATGATAAGGTGAAATTTAAAACTGAAGTGTTAGACCCAAAGAGGCAGGTTCATGTTGTAAACAGTTACCAGCAGTCGTCAGAACCCTCCCACGCAGGTCTGCTAGTCTACCTGACTTATAATTAGTGATTCCAGGGAGTAAAACATTACTGTTGAAATACGAAGAGGTACATAATCTCGAGGAAATACGAAAAGTTTACAGTTTTGTAGAAATATGATAAAAAGTGTATAGTTGTTAGTACTTATTGTGATGGAGTGACGTACACAGTGTGTGGTAAACATGTAGTTAGCAGCGGTCGCACTATATACAACGAAGATAAGATAAGATAAGATTTCGTTCGGATTTTTAACCCCGGAGGGTTAGCCACCCAGGATAACCCAAGAAAGTCAGTGCGTCATCGAGGACTGTCTAACTTATTTCCATTGGGGTCCTTAATCTTGTCCCCCAGGATGCGACCCACACCAGTCGACTAACACCCAGGTACCTATTTGCTGCTAGGTGAACAGGACAACAGGTGTAAGGAAACGTGTCGAATGTTTTCACCCGCCGGGAATCGAACCCGGGCCCTCCGTGTGTGAAGCGAGAGCTTTAGCCACCAGGCCACTGGGCCACGAAAATCATTATTCCTCCAGTAATCTCCATATTTTGAAGCCATTGGCGCCCAAACACGCAAGTTATACTTTCTGTATCAAACTGAACACATATTACTGTTTAATTTGTTTCCAGTAGTCCTTTTATGAGCTAGTTCATTATCACTCAGTGAGCTAATCCGGATCTGCCTGGATTCATCCAACGACCGGATTCAAACGGATTCGTTGATAACAATGTATCCTCTGACTGGTTTCACTAACTGACGGGGCTCTACGCGCCCTATCAAACACTCAAACAGTAACTACAACAAATAGTTACAATACAGATAGACAGATCTATTGTTAGGATGCTTATTAGGAAAAAGATATACAATGATCCACTAGCTGGACTACCGGAGTCGCTGGATTCGGGCGGATTCAAACGCTTTTTGTGGAAATAAAGCCAGATTCGGGCGGATTCAAACGCTTTTTGTGGAAATAAAGCCTGATTCGGGCGGATTCAAACGCTTTTTGTGGAAATAAAGCCAGATTCGGGCGGATTCAAACGCTTTTTGTGGAAATAAAGCCAGATTCGGGCGGATTCAAACGCTTTTTATGGAAATAAAGCCAGATTCGGGCGGATTCAAACGCTTTTTGTGGAAATAAAGCCAGATTCGGGCGGATTCAAACGCTTTTTGTGGAAATAAAGCCAGATTCGGGTGGATTCAAACGCTTTTTGTGGAAATAAAGCCAGATTCGGGCGGATTCAAACGGTTTCGTTGGAAATAAAGCCAAATCGGAAGAACTGTTACAAAAAATTAAATACATCGGGGAATTACAGACTAGCTAGCTAGGAGGGTTGTCAAGTATTGTAAGATGAACATCACCATGAAGATGTGTGTAGTCTACAGAAAGGGTGAGGGACGAAGACAGGCCTGGATTGCTTGCCACCTTTGTGGTCAGTGGTCCCATGGTATATGCAGGGATTTTAAACTAGTGACCACACTAGATATAAACTCAGAGAGATGTTTTTGGGTCTGCCCAAACGAGATACACCTGTATGAGGAAATGACATTTATATTAAAAGTCAAGAACACCAATAAAACATCCATCTTGAAAGACATGTCAGCATGGTATGACAGCTGGGAAAAAAAGATGGGTGGTAGGGACAGGGCTGTCTTGGACAGTGCTACTGAGGGTGCTAGTGCTGTCCTGGAGGACAGTGCCGAGGGTGCTAGTGTTGTCCTGGAGGAAAGTAATACCACTGTAATGTATGGTGTGGATAGTACGTGTTTAGGGTCATTTTGGATTCTTGTGTATTAATCTGTTTCTGTGTACCTTTTTAATATAGTTATACCACCTTGTATTGCATTGTTTTAAATAAAATATAAAAAAAGTGATGTATTAGAAGATAGAGCTCGTGAGGGTACTAGTGTTGTCCTGGAGGACACTGAAGACAACCTTATTCAGTCCACAGAGGTTCAAAATAGAGATACTGCTGGAGATGGATCAAAATGGGATGAGGCCTCAGGGAATAGTGTCGACACACTACCAGCAAAACCTGGTGGAAGCACTGATGTCCATACAGGAGTAAACGATATTGATATTGAGGAAACAGGAAAATAAATGTGCCAGCAGTGAACGCAGCTACAATAAATCCTAACAAACAGAAGTACAATCTATGTAAATACTATGCCTTGGATATCTGCAGGCACGGTACATCTGGTAAAACAGGTGGGACATGCACCTTTGAAAATCCCAAAAAATGCTGCACCCACATGACAACAGGAGAGTGCAATTTCCTTTCTTGTAACCTATTTCACCCAGAAATGTGTCACTCATCAATCCACGAAAGAAAATGTTACAGTGCATACTGCCAGGCATATCATTGAAAGAGGACTAGAAGACACAGACCAGCCAAACTATGGAAAACAAAAGAGAGGACCCACAACCTCTCTGGGAACAGAAGCTTTTTAAGGCCAGAAGGGAAAAAAGACCGGCAAGAAATGACAATAATCCTACACCACCTGAAAACACTTCAAGAGCAGAGGAACGGACATTAGCCTCTACCCCAGAACAACAGATATTAGAGCTAGCAAATAAAAACCCCATAAATTCCACCAATACGACATTTGTCTTTGCAAATATACAAGGTCTAAAATCGTCAAAAAACAACAAAATTCCTTACATCAAGGGACTGCTCACGGAGTCAAATGCAATGTTTGCAGCATTCACAGAGACCCACATAAAGAATCATCATGACAACGAAATATGGATCCCAGGTTATAACCTATTCCGATGCGACAGACTAAACAGGCAACAAGGGGGTGTTGGCCTGTATGTCAGAGTCGCTCATTTGCACAGAACTATTAAACACCTCAAATGAAGTAGTTCAAGTTTTGGCAGTAAAGATCGAAAACCAAAACCTTGTCATTGTGGAAGTATACAAGCCTCCAGATGCAACTTCCCAGCTATTCCAGGAGCAGCTTGAGAAAACTGACCATTGTCTGGAAAATTTCCCAACTCCTGCCCCAAACATCTTACTACAAGGAGATTTCAACCCGAGACACCTAAAATGGAAGAGTATAGCAAACAATGTTTTAGCAGAGATCACCCCGGGAGGCAGCTCAGATGAAAATTCACACACACACGAACTAATAAATCTCTGCAACAAATTCACCTTAAACCAGCAAATAGTAGAGCCTACGAGACTAGAACATACGCTGGACCTCATCATCACTAACAATGATGATCTGATACGTAATGTAACTGAATCAAAGACAATTCACTCAGATCACAACATAACAGAGGTACAGACATGTATGCACAGGGCTCCGGACCAGCAAAATGTGAGCAGTCATGAAGGTCTCTTCACGAAATTCAATTTCAATAACAAAAATATACAATGGGACCAAGTAAACCATGTCCTAAATGAAACAAGCTGGGAAGATATCCTAAACAACACGGACCCGAACATTTGCCTTGAAAAAATGAATTCTGTGGTTCTGGAGGTCTTCTCAAGACACATTCCATTAAGAAAAAGAAAGAGATGATGTAAACTAGAAAGAGAGAGACGCTCCCTATATAGACGAATGCAAAGAGTCACAGAGCTGCTGAGTGGGGTCAATATATCTGAATTACGAAGGGAAGCACTAGTGAATGAAATTGCAAATATCAAACTTAAGCTGAAGGAATCTTACAGGAGACAAGAATCACAGGAAGAACAAAAAGCCATACATGAAATTCAAAAAACCGAAAATACTTCATCTGTGGAGTTTACCTGGAAAGAGTTTGGGGGGTCAACGCCCCCACGGCCCGGTCTGTGACCAGGCCTCCTGGTGGATCAGAGCCTGATCAAACAGGCTGTTACTGCTGGTTGCACGCAACCCAAAGTACGAGCCACAGCCCGGCTGGTCAGGTACCGACTTTAGGTGCTTGTCAAGTGCCAGCTTGAAGACTGCCAGGGGT